CTATTTGACAGCTTATATTAAATAATTGAACTAGCCATATAATTCCAAATTACACAAGTTGTTGGACTGGGAAAGGAAACCAATGGGATGGTTGAATTTCCTGTCATTATCCTTCGTAGTTTGGTCCGTGATGCATATCTTCCTCTGCTCTGTTGATTGGTCAAATGCTGTGGAACAAAAAGTTGGTTAGGCTTTCATAAGGGAAAAAAAGTGATTTCTGCCCCGCTCCCAAGGCTTAAAGAGAAAGAAGGAGAGAGAGATTGCTGCCCAGAGTCCATTGGAGTTGGGCAACCAACTAAATTTATTTATTAAATAAATAAATAAAATGAAGTTCAAGCTTTCTGCCATTATATTTGCTCTTAACTTAAAAGACTTGGTCTCAAATATTACAAACAACAGGTGACAAGGTAAATTCATTTTCTGTTGTAAAAATAATCCTGTACTAAGTTCTACCATTTAATCTGTGAACTAGCATAAGTACATTAAAATGTGCAAGTACATAAAATGTACAATAAAATTGAGAAAAAGCTAGAATAGAATCATTTCCCCCTGACATCTTGTTTTATATCCAGAGGTATTTTCTTTAATAGAAGAGGATTTATTGAATTGGTTATGTATAGTCGTAGACTTAGGTTTACCACCACATTTTCTATTTGTAAAAAATAGACTTGAGGTTTGGTAGATGACTGAATTGCCATGAAAAGCATCCATCTTATTAGACGAAGAGGCTCAGGCATGTCTCCCTTGGAGTTTAATATTGGTCTGAGGATGTAATGGTGGTAATATGGAAAAATTGAGTCCTCAAAGAGTTTAATGAAACCACAGTCAGGATCAGTACATATTGGAGGAGACATCCTCCATTTTTTCCTGCAATGCTGCTAATGTGTTTTGATCAAACTATTTTCCATGGATTTTCATCACTCATCTGGGATTTTGGGAAATTGAATCTAGAAGTATGTCTGAATTCTATGGTTTAGGTGTTTCTCTAAAGAAGAGATCAAAGATACTGTCCAAGTTGTAACCCATCGTCTGGTATGTGTCCTAGATCAACATCTTTGAAGAAACTTTCCCTGTAGACATCAGAGTGGATTCCCTCTCTCGAGGAACTTTTCAAAAGAAAGTTGAGTTCTTCCAGAAAATGGGTGAGTTATAAGGTGCTGTCCTTCTCAGAATCCATATCTTCATACTAATGCAACAAGATCTTTGTTGTAGCCTGCTCTTACCTATTTTGTAAGAACAAGAATGAATTCTTGGGATATAATTAGTCTTCTCAGTTCTCCAAATAGAAATTAATATTGATAAGAGAAACAGGATGAGGACTTCTAATGACAAGCCGGCTTTGTGCTTCCATTGTCCGACTATTAGGATTCAGGACAAGAAAAACATCTCATATTCCCTAGTACATTTACACGTTTCACTCTTTAGTATGAGACATGGTTCAAAATAATCAAAATCTTTGTTTTGCTAAAGTCTTCCCTTGTCCTAGTGGCATCTAAGTCTCAGTGTGGTTCTTTTCCCCCCATATGCTCTACTTCTGACTCTCTATAATTGTAAACTTTTAAAAAGTGAAATTTAGCTGCAGCAGTCTCTAAGTCCTTTGCAACCTCTGTTAGTCTGATTTCTTGCAGGTTCTGATTAGACTGATGCCAGAACAAAACATAGATTTAAGAAACTATCAATGCCTGACCCTCTTTTTGTATATAGGATACCAAACAGTTCCAATGAAGAAAGTAATTTCCCCTTCAAAAAGACGTACAGTAAAAGAACAGTCAGAGGACCCAAGTGCCAGCCAAGAATCAAATTCAGGTAAGCTGTGGCCACTTATAATCAGCATCTGAATACTGTAAGAAGCTCATACAAGAGACTTTCAACAGCCTGGTTCTTAAAGGTGTTGCAAAAGAGCCAAAAGTGCTGTCACACCAGTTTAGGGAATGATTGGTTTGTTGCAGCAGATATTTTTGTAGATAATAACTATTTAATCAGACGTGATAAAGAAATAATGGTACCAAAACATTAACGCAGGGAAGAAGGCTTCAGTTAGATGTTGACCACACTTTGATCTGAGCAACCTGCAGGACAGTCCATGATTTCTCACATTAATCTTCTATAGACCATTTTTTCTAATTGTCTTTCATGTTACAGCATGTTCTTGAGAAAATCCAAACCATGTTGTAGTAGTATTTCATGGGTGACAGTGTGATTCTGCCCCCCAAATGGCTCCCTTCATATTATCTCTGCAGACAGGGCTATGGAAAGGGCACAGGATAAACAGACGTGACTTCATTCATTCATTCATTCATTCATTCATTCATTCATTCATTCATTCAACAAATCTATATAGCAGCCTGCAGACTTCTCTTTGGCATATCTGCTGTTGATTAAGGAAATCTGGGTTGCTTTTCCACCCTGTTCCTTCACCTTTTCTATTCTGAAAAGCAGATGTTTTTTGCTGTTTGCCTCACTGCACATTCTAGTTTCTTAAAAACACACACACACACACACACACACACACAAATGAAGACAGCAGGATATTTGTGTAAGAGATTGGGAAGAAGCTGTTTAGAAACTACTGGGGAATACAAAACAGTTGGGGGGATGATGGGGTTGTAATTAAAAAAAGAAAGGAAAACCATATTCTTAATTCTTTACTTCAGGTTTGCCACCTCCTACACAAATGGAAAATGATCAAGAGAAGAAATTCCTGAATATGAAGCCTGAACAGCCTGAACCAAGCCAGGAGATACGGAACATTATTAAAACCCACAAGAATCGTCCAGTCCCACCACCAAAACCCATCTTGCCTGTTAGGTAAGAAATGTGCCAGGTTGGTCAAGGAATTAGATCTGCCTTTGTGACTGAAGTTGAAGAAACTCCCACAGCTGTCCCAGGCCATCCAGAGAACATCTCAGTTTGAGGGGGGGCAAGTATGTTAATGTGTCAGTTGATCATTGAGACAATATTTGTCCCCAAATGCTGGACATTTCTTACATAGGTTTGTGACAGGATTCTCTTCCTAGAGTGGGAGCAGCCATGGAGCTTTTGCATCTACATATTTAAGAGAACTTCTGTAAATAAAGTTTCTAAGAATAGGTCTTTTGTTGTAGATAGTCCATGGTGGCCCACACACAACAGGTCATCTCAGCCGTTTTTTTATTTGACTTGCAGAAACGTCTCTAAATCTTTTAAGAAGTATGACCCAAAGGACGAAGCTCTAGTAAAACTGGGACTTGTAGGATTGGATCATTCATTGGTGAGTGTTTGATTTGCTACTTCCATCTTAGTGTGCAGAAGGAAACATCCTGTCAAAATTTGCAGGCTAAAATCTCCAGTCAGCTCATGATACTCACTGGTAAGCATTGAATAATTCACTTTTTCTTTGCTTAGCCTGTGGATAAAAATCAGATAAACCTATATTTGCCACCATGGGCAAAACAGAACATATTTTTATAACCTATGAAAATAACACCTGACTATATGGCTGTAGCTATCACTGGTCAACATCTTTGGAGCAGTTCTAAGTCTGTTCTCTGAATGGAACTCAATCTTCTGAAAAGAATTTTGAGAGCCTAAATCAAGAGACACCATGATTTGATTTATGGACAGGTCACCACTAACTCTATTTAGATGCTCTTAAAATCCATCTACTACTAATAATAAAGTGTTATGGCATTTATAATATCTGCTCCATTTAAATCATCCTAGTGGGTCCACCTGTAGAATTTATCAAAGGAAATGAACAAGTTAAATGCCAATTGTCTTCAGTGATTTAGAAGATTTCTGCCAGAAAGCTTCCAGCTACATCACTGTTTGCTTTTTAATATTGCATGTTGTTGTGAAAGCTTTAACTTGCTAGCTGTAGAATGTGAATGACATTCTAATCACATGTGTGTAACATGGCTGGACAGTCCCCTTGCTCTTCCTTTCTGTTCCCTCATCCCAGCAGTCCTCTGGAAAAATGAAACCATCACCACCTCCACCACCAGTCAAACCATCCAGTTCCATCCAGGAAAAACAACTGGCTCTTAGGGATGTTGTTGGTCATCTTGGCTCAGTGCTTCCTCCTCCCCCTCCTGGGCCACCACCTTCCTTTCTTTCAGGTTCTGACACAGATGAAACTGGCATGGAAGGTAAGCAAATGCCCTTTGATCCTGCAGACTTCCCCTTTGGTACATCTGCTCTTGATTAAGTTAGAAAGCAGCAGTCTGTACAGGTGAAGTGTTTTCTCTGGGGAGAAAGCCCCCCCTCCCCCATATGGTAAGCATTTTTTGTGTAACTCTGATACATTTATTTTACAAACTTAATCAAATTTTAACTAGGTAGTTAAGGCTGTGCAGTATATTCTGGTCTTCATTACATTTCATAGGTGATGTATATTTTTATGGTGCAGAAGTAAAACCGTAAGCATGATGCAATAGAGATGTTCTTCGCTATTTTTAATTTATCATTTCCACAAAATATTTTGGTTCACCTTTTGTGTTTGTATAATATTGTAACAGGAGCAAAACGGTTGAATATTGAATATGTTATTTTGAAAGCATTTGAGTGCTGACCAAGATTATAGTTTATATAGAATTATAAACTATAATTCAATAGTTAATTCAATTTTATAGAATTCAATTCTAATAGCATCAAGTAATATTTAGATGGTAATAGCAAACAGAGACAAAGTGTTGTCACCTGCTCCCAGTAAATCATAATCCTCCTGTTTAACATGATCTTTTAATTCATCTGGCTGTCTTGTGTGGCACGTCTACATGCATTAGCAATTCTACTATAATGCAGATGTTCTCAACCAGGGATCTCCAGATTATGATAGTTCACAGCTCTCATTCTCACCAATCATTGCCATCCTGACTGAGGATAATCAGACATACCTCTATGGACCAAAATTGGGAAAGGCTGTCTTGGCCTCTAGGCCAGGTCATTGCTCACAGTTATTGGTGTTTTTTTTTTTTAAGTTTATTCATTTTTTCGTTATTACTTTAAATTGAATTATTACCTTGGGAACCTTTTATTGAAGGGTAATGTATGCATTTATTGGAGCAGAGAACACTTTATTGGGTCCATAATTAGGTTTGTTTTATACAGTTTTAAAATCTGCTTTTTGATATTGCGAGCAAGGTAGTTTGTAGCCAGAATCTTTACTGCAACCCCATTTTAGGAAGAGATGGCTATTTTGTTTTTAACTTGAGAATGCACTTGTAGATCATGGAGATATCACAAAATATTCTCATATGCTTTGAGGATAACTTTGATATTTAAAAGCAACCTGTAAATACTAGAACAATACATTTCCTTTTGTTTCTGTTTCTTTCCCACTTAGATTCAGCTAGGACAGTGTTGGAAGAAGCTAGTATCAAAACCCAGCTCTTCAATCTCTCTGCTAGTGTCAGCTTCTCCTACGCTAATCCTACTTGGAAACTCTTCTTGCGGAAAGAGGTATGTCATGGCCCCACTTCCAAAGGCATTGCTTTTCTGGTCATGTTTAGTTGGCTTCATCATCTACATCTGTAGTGAGGGCATCTCCCATAACTTGGACGCTTGGTGGCTAATCCTCTTGCAGCTCCCATTCTGCAAAATGTGTTTGAGTAATTTCAGTGCATTCTGTCCTGTATGCTTATTATGGTA